TTTGACCCGATTCTGACATAAAAGAGTTCAAGTTTTAATCTTTTAAGTAAAAAAAAAATCTGATAAAAAGGAATACAAAATTAAAGTTTATTTCGCTAAGTGAAAACTCTGTTTCTTTTTATTCAATTTAATCATATATTTTTATGCTTTTTTTCTGGAAATAAGTGAGTCTATATTTGTAACTAGCCTTGGCTACAATTTCCTTTACTGTTATCCTATTGATACTATTGATATAGTTTTAAATCATTAAAGTAAAATAATCTGATTTTTAAAATCATTTAACACTATTTAAAAGTAAAATAAATTTTTAAGTGGTATCTTTAACACTTAAAAATTTATTTTACTTTTAAATACAATTTTTTTTTATTAAATTTCATTTCAGTAATTAAAGACAACAATTTTTTTCTTCTGTATGTAACATTTAATTAAAATTTACGATTACTTTAATGGTTTATTATATATTTACATTAAACAAAACTGTAAAATGAGAAAATTTAATATTGGAACATTTATTAATTCTTTTTATGCTTAGTACTGTACATAAAAAATTATGAGTGTTTGTTTGCCAACCTCATTACCATTCTGTGTTTACTGTGCATAAAAACATACATTACTGCTTGTTTTTTTTGCAAAAAGTGTCCTTCTTGTAGAATTCCAGATCACGTCCATTTATTGATTCTATCTTTATTTCGAAAACATTTTTTTTCTCCAAGAAACATCGATTGTACGATATTAAAAGTTTGTTTGCAAAGAAGAAATATTTCTAAAGTATTTTTCAATTAAGTTTTTCATAATTGTATCTTTCTTAGAATAATGAATACATTTGTTTCTGTTATTGAAAAAGAATTCGTTTTAAAATAGAAAAATCTTTCAATATGTAAACTTCAATATGATATGAAAGATTTAATTAGGTTTAAATATTTTTCATTTTTTATTTAAAAATAATTATTAATTATGTTTTAATAATTAAAATTAAGTAATTTGTAAGCTACTAAACTCACATTGTTGATCCTTGAAACTTAACGTTTAGAATAGTGTTTCTCAACCTGTAACAAAACGTCGCCCCCTTCAACGTAGTATCGCCCTCTTCAATAAAACCGTTATGTAGTATTCCCCCTTCACTTCAAAATTCCGATGCCGAGGGCCAAGGCTAATGCCAAATTCGTACTGCATTGAATAGACTAGTGACTAGTATAATGTTATTTGTTTAATTATTGGACGATATAACGAATAAAATATCTAATTATTCTTAATATAATGTTTTACTATATCGCCCAGAAAATTGTTTTTCGCCCCCCAAATATAAATTGTTACTAATCGCCCACTCAACATGGAAAATCGCCCACATGGGGGCGATATCGCCCCCGTTGAGAAACACTGGTTTAGAATAATCAAAATTATTTATAATATTAATTTATTAAATGTATAAGATAAATTTTATTATTTTTTTATTCATTCTGTAATTTATTTGTCAGTGTAATTCATTTAAAACTTGAATTTTAAAGGTACCTTTTTTTAGTGCTTAAAACAAATAACTACAATATATTTTCAAACCAAGAAAATGTTCTGTACGATCGAAAATAGTATGATTTTTTCGTATATAAAAAACACAAGCAAAGAAAGTATTGCCAAGGAAGAAAAATAACGTTGAAACATGTCTATGACCATACCATTCTCTGCATTAGGATGGATGTTACTCTTAAGAAAATAAGCATTTTTTATATAGGTTATATGAGAGAAAAAGAGTGAAAGAATAGACATTGAATAGATTGAAAACAAAATTCGCACTTCACTTCAAAAAATTGCAAAGAAAACTGTTGAAAATCAAAGTTTAAAACAAAATAAATATTGCACGCTCATAAGACAAAATTCTATTCTAGTTTTAAATTACAATAAATTGTTTATTTTTTTAATATTAATTTTATCTTTTAATGCTGTATATTTTGTATGATATTTTTTTAAGGATTCCATTTTTTATTATTAAAATTTGAAAGAATATCCATCCAATTATTATGTTATTCGGGAAAAAACTCGAACGTAATTTATTTATAAAAAATGTTCAACAGTTTTCATAAATGCAACCTGTTTCATATCGAACAATGCCTAATTGAAAGAAGATTGAAAAGTAAGATGCTAAAGGAAGAAGGAAAACCGAACTTGATGACCTCGAGCAAGGATATTCTGAACTGAAAGGAAGAATCCGAGATATAATCGGTTGAAGAGACGAGAAAGATGAATAATGCACGTTAAGGACTTGCCTAAGGTCTAAATACAAAAGAAAAGAATTTCTAATACTTCTTTTTTCCTACTAAAATAACGTAATTACCCATGATGATTCGTATTTTCTTCATATTAAAATGCACGTAAATAAATACAAGCGCTGTTTCTGTTTCATTTCTTCCAATTAAAAATAAAAATATCATATTTTATTAATTTAATATGTGATTAAATATAGATATGAATTTATTAAAATATTTCTTACATTAGGTGTTTACATCGTAGTAAATACAGCCTAAGAGATTACAAAATCGTGTAAAACATTGTATAAACTTCAGGATAAAAATATTATAAGGAATATTTTGTATATTTATTAATGATAAAGAATTTATGAAAGAAATATTTTTACTTAAATATTTTTTTTTTAGTTAGAAATGTAGAAATATTATTTGTGCAAACTAAAAGTTAAATTGATTTGATTATTTCCCAAAGAGCAACATAAATATATTCTGAACATTAAAATTCTATATTTTGATATCTGCAAAAATGAAAATTTTATAATATTTCCTTTTTCTTATTTATAAAATTCCTATTTTAATAAATGTACAATGTTATAAACGAGAAAATGTTCTTGAATTTTTTATATTCTTATTTTAGCTAGAAACGTACAGTACAAAAGATACTAGTAAAAGTTCATACTCATTAAAAATTTATCAACGTAAAATATATAAGATTAATAAAACTTCTTCGTTATTACTTTATTAATTCTTATTTTATAGAATTTTGTTTGACTGGAAAGAACGTTGTTTTACTTTTGATAAAAGAGCTTCTAGTGAAAAATAGATTTGAAGTCACAGTTATGAGTGCAATATTTCTGAACACATATTCCTATATTATTGATCTACAGTAAAGCTCAGAGTTCAATACAAATCTATAAAAGTTTGAAACATACTGCGACGTCCTTACAACTCCGACCAGACATCAAATTGATAATCTGTATTTCGCTTCTTCAGATATAAAATTCGATAAAAAATAAATTACTGTTAATATCAAATAACAATTTATTAAATACGTTTTGTTTATTACTTTATTGAAGCTTTAATCAATTTTTAAATTATATGATCAAGTTTTTTTCTATAATTTTTTGTTAATTTTACATTAGAAGTATCTTGTATTCTTTTATTACTATATTTTTTTCATTTGAAATTAATCGTTAATTAAGTTTTTTATATTAAAATTTAAAATTTTCTTTTGTCCAATTGAAGAATATTTAATTAAGAATTGTGCAATTTAATTTTATTTTTAAGTGATATGAAACTTAATAATGAATTTAGATGTTTTTCTACTAAAATCTTTCCTCGATATTTAGATTATACAACTTACTTATTAAAGTACTGTACAATGTTTTGCTACTAAAACTTTCATGACAGTACAATGTTAATACAATATTATGCTACTAAAATCTTTGCTTTGATGTTTCAATATTTAGATTATACTATAATTTATTTATTACAGCCTTTAATTTTGGTGAATTTAGTCATTCATTTTCACGTATTAATTTAAAATGCGTTTGTTTCATTTTTATGTTCAAAGTAAACTACAGTATGGTACATTGTATGTGCTGTNAGAAAATGTTCTTGAATTTTTTATATTCTTATTTTAGCTAGAAACGTACAGTACAAAAGATACTAGTAAAAGTTCATACTCATTAAAAATTTATCAACGTAAAATATATAAGATTAATAAAACTTCTTCGTTATTACTTTATTAATTCTTATTTTATAGAATTTTGTTTGACTGGAAAGAACGTTGTTTTACTTTTGATAAAAGAGCTTCTAGTGAAAAATAGATTTGAAGTCACAGTTATGAGTGCAATATTTCTGAACACATATTCCTATATTATTGATCTACAGTAAAGCTCAGAGTTCAATACAAATCTATAAAAGTTTGAAACATACTGCGACGTCCTTACAACTCCGACCAGACATCAAATTGATAATCTGTATTTCGCTTCTTCAGATATAAAATTCGATAAAAAATAAATTACTGTTAATATCAAATAACAATTTATTAAATACGTTTTGTTTATTACTTTATTGAAGCTTTAATCAATTTTTAAATTATATGATCAAGTTTTTTTCTATAATTTTTTGTTAATTTTACATTAGAAGTATCTTGTATTCTTTTATTACTATATTTTTTTCATTTGAAATTAATCGTTAATTAAGTTTTTTATATTAAAATTTAAAATTTTCTTTTGTCCAATTGAAGAATATTTAATTAAGAATTGTGCAATTTAATTTTATTTTTAAGTGATATGAAACTTAATAATGAATTTAGATGTTTTTCTACTAAAATCTTTCCTCGATATTTAGATTATACAACTTACTTATTAAAGTACTGTACAATGTTTTGCTACTAAAACTTTCATGACAGTACAATGTTAATACAATATTATGCTACTAAAATCTTTGCTTTGATGTTTCAATATTTAGATTATACTATAATTTATTTATTACAGCCTTTAATTTTGGTGAATTTAGTCATTCATTTTCACGTATTAATTTAAAATGCGTTTGTTTCATTTTTATGTTCAAAGTAAACTACAGTATGGTACATTGTATGTGCTGTTATGATTCTTAAACCTTTAAAATTCTGCTATTTGCATATCCTTACTAGTATGTTAATTAAGTCTTAAATATTTAATACTGTGTAACTACATTTTGCTAAAATAATTATACTAAAATGAAATTTTGATATAGTTTCATTAAATTGTTTCAATTTTAAGGCATTTGAAACTCTGTTAGTCATGGCAGAATGCTGTGGGAGTTTTATATATCAACGAACAATGAAAGAAGTTTGGCCAAATTTGATTAAAATTTTAGAAAGGCAATGCAAAATCAGGTACAGTTTTAAAAATTTAATTTTATATTCTGAATTTTTACTGTGAAATTTATTGACTTAAATTACAGCATGGGAAAAGAAGACAATTCTCCATATAGATTCACAATTGGATACAAATTACAAATGAAGCTGCTAACTGAACTAGGAAATCTATCATTAAAGGTAAAAATAACTAATACCACCAAAATACTTTCTATGATTTCTAAACATCACTCTCTTTTATAGCTGAATATTTTTGAGAAGGACTTGAGACTTGTGTTTGCTGCATTGCAACCATATCTTAGTTTTAAACAACCAAAAAGTTTGAGAGAGGTATGAAAAGTTTTTATTTTAAATATATAATCTGTTGTAAACCATAAGAAAAACTTTTTTAATATATTTTAGGCTACAATAAACACTTTCAAACTGCTTACAAAAGTTAATGCAGATGCTGTTTGGTTGTTTCTCAACAATTTATGTAGTCCTCAACCAGAACTTTCACCTTTGCATTCTTCATTTTGTCCAATACATTTTGCAGAACCCAAGAAAGAATATAGTCAATCTGTTTATCAGTTGTTACAAGAAATTTCATGACAGAACTACATCTACCTCCAAGATGACATTAACAGCTTGTAAGAAAAAACTTGTAAATAATAAAAATTTGATTATAGTTTGTGTAACTATTAATTTTATTGCCACTTTTTTAACAATTCCAATTTTGCTTAACTATACAAAGCTAACACATTGTAGCATCAATCTGCTGTATATGAGATGCTATTTGTTTAATTTTAAATCTGTACATAGGATCGTCTGCAATGGGATTGTTTTCAAGATAAACTGTGTTCAATTTTTTAAAATTCTTTAAAACTTCAACATCTTCCCACTTGTGTATTTGATTATCATTAAACTGAAAATGAAATAAAATCATGATTAGTACATCATTCAAAATGTTTACAGATACCAGCTCTACTTCCATACTTAAAAATTATAATCAATCAGTATTACATTACATCTCTTAGTAAAACAATCAGCTTTCTCTGTAATTTTGTTAAGTGTTTTACAAAGATAACAAGTATATTACTAATCTGATAAAAGAATTACAAATGTCTTGAATAACAAAACAAACTACAGTGATACCTCAGGATACGACATGAAATTCGAACATATTTTTGCTCCACGATATGAACAAAAACTCACCATGTGACGTTACATTAGTTTGCAGCACCATTTTTTATTCACTTCTGTTCATTGATCTCAGTCCGCGTGTTTGCTTCGTCATGGAAGGATCTTGCTCGATAAAGGAAATCTTGAGGTATTATCAGAAAGTGACTGATTTTATTGAAAAGAAACATTCCGAAAAGGTTCACACTGGCTGTGTTACTGCTCAGTTTAATGACATTTGCCTAAGTCATTTTAGAAACATTTTAAAGTAGGCAAAGTCAAACCTCTTTGGATAGATATTTTACCAAGCGACCTCTATCCAGTGGAAGTGAAGGAAAAAAAGCAAAAAGCAGTGAATAAACATTTAAAAATATATATATAAAACAACACTAATTTTTTTTTATCTTTTCTAAGTTATTTTTAAGTTATTGTTACATTATGTTATGTATGTTAAGTTTTAGTATCATTTCTCTTCTCCCTCTCTTCCACCACCAGTTTACACCTCCACTGTCATCTATCCTCAAAGGTAAAGTGCAAATAAAACTACATTTTCTTTTATCAATTATTATTCTATTATGGTTATTTATACATTTACAACTACAAAATGCATTTTCAGTGTTTTCCTTACTATAGTTATTTTTTTTTAATTAATGTACAACTTAGCTTTAATTTGAGTGTGTTTTTGTGTTGGAATGAATTATTTGGTTTTACATGTAATCGTATGGGAAAAAATGATTCACCTTACGACATTTTCATGATACGATCTCAGTTTCGGAACGGATTAATTTCGTATCCTGAGGTACCACTGTA